ACTGTGTCTAAGCCCCTTAAAGGCACCAGATCCTGTCTGACTTTGGAAGCTAAACAGGGTCAGCTCTGGTTATTACTTGGATGGGAGACTGGCAAGGAATACCAAATGCTGTAGGCTACATTTCTGAGGAAGGAACTGGCAACACTGGGTCACCATATGTTAACAGGTGGCTTAAAGGCACATACAGAGACCCTCTGTTTACAAATATCAATTCAGAAATTTTCATTGCATGCAAAAATATATTCAAAAATAGTTAACTATGCATTTAAATGCACATTTAAAAATAGATTAATTCAAACCTAGAATGTAACAGATTTAGGAATGAACACAGGCCAGAAATAGACTGCTCTCATAGGTATAGATGAAGAGAAGGAATTTAGGTACAATGGGACTAGAAACTGGTCTTGTTTCTTTTTCATTAAGTTGGAACTTCCAACTCTGATATTTTTCAACATGTCTAGCTGGTTATTGTATATGCCCCCAGTACTGACAGTCTTTCAGCAGCTACATAGCACACAAAATACAAAAGGTACAGTCTAATTTGATTTATGACATCAATTTAAATGAAATATTAAATCCTTTAATAGAACTGGTCAGGTCAGATGCCAGTCCAGATCTAGAGGCTTAATGCAGTCATTCATTACTGACTACTAGATATATGGGGACTGACACATCCTATAACAAGAGAGTAAATGTTTTGTTCCTCAGGTATATCATACTGAGAGATTGGACACCATGTGTTATGTTAAACTATATTTGGTCATGTGGAATAATAATTTAAGTCTGTACATATCTTTTCATTAAATGATAATCTAATTTGGGGTAATAATTATCACTAATGTACGATTTGATTTTCTATTGTGGGGTATTCTTGATAGGCTTTAGTTGATATTTAGAGAAAGATTTTTCTTTTATGTATTCTGTGTCTGTGTCTCTGCCTGCCTGCCTACCTTTCCTCTTAACCTCACTCATTCCTTTTTGAAACAGGCATAGTTCTGCACTTCATCTCTTTTATCTGATGGAATGGGATACTTTGCCCTTTATCAGCTAACCTGTATCTATCTGGAGTTACTTCTAGTCACCTTCCAGTTACTTGGACTTCTAATTTATGTGCAACACTATTATACAGATAGACAGATTAGCATCAATACTTCTGTTAAATAAACTTAAGCATTGGAGATGGCTGGGAATCATATGATATCATTTGGCCTCACTAGGTTTGGCAGAGCGAGGGTGATCCCTGATGCGTTGGTACAGGCCATAGAAGAGTAAACAGGAAGATCTGAAATGCCTTGAAAAGAGAGTTGGGTCACTTTCTTCCTCATCCAGCTATAGATTTTCAACTGCCCAAGCCCCACAGAACTGACTTCATCCATTTATCAGAGGAAGGTAATATGTTGTTCTTACAGGATTTGCAACAGAAAGTAAGGACTCCATTGCCAGCCTGATGGGGGAAAGGGACTAAGCAAATGCGGCATGTAATAGCAGAAGAAAACAAGAGTATAATGGACACTTTGGCAGCTTTTTGGTGAAGGGAGGGCCTCTGGAACTTCCTTTTTTAGGTCCCAAGACTTAAGGAGACTATGCTTGGGACAGCCCTGGGGGACCAAATGTATGGCTCTGATGTAGTGCTTATATAACATGTCTTGTTTTAACTTTTGTATCTTGTGAATTTTTAACAATATGTTTTTTTTAATTGTTGTAAGCTTCTTAGAGTCCTGAAATGGGAAAAAGGCAGGATATAATAATAATAATAATAATAAGAAGAAGAAGAAGAAGAAGAAGAAGAAGAAGAAGAAGAAGAAGAAGCAATGCACTGTTACACAGCAGGCCTTTTTAAAGAAATAGTTGAGCGTGAAAGTAAAAAATTGAGTTTTCCAAAATACAGGCTGTTATTTCCTTCTTTGTCAAGCCTGAAACAAGAAACAAGGTGCAAAATCAGGGAAGGGATTTTTCACCTGCATTCAGGCAAAGTTTTTAGTGTAACAGAATTTTAAAATATTTTTATTAGAGAAAATAGAATTTCTTCTACTTCAATTATAGAGTATACTTGCTTTCTATATTGGTTATCTGTGATATCTCCACATATAGTTGACAATTTGTTTGCCTACAAATGGACCTTGAGCTTGTTTGGAGGTTCTAGCAGGGGAGCGCAGCTATCATATACCCTTGATCGAAGAACGATACACTCCTTCTATCTGGGATGGTCGTCCTCTTCCACCGACTGTGCAGCTTCGGGAAGGATGCACATGGAGCAGTGAGGGAGGAAGGGAACACCCGCCTAGCGAGCCAGATCATCCAAATCAACCCTGGCGATCAATGGGGTGACAGATGTCGCAGCCAGATCGCCCTTACATCAGGCTGCGCAACTGATTATCAAATATGGAATTTCATTAGCTGAAATTAATGAACTCCAATTGGAAGCGCAGATAAAGTCTATCAAGAACACAATAAGTGAAACATCTATACAAAAAGATTTCCATACTGTTTATCTGTCCTGATGTGCCCCCCTATACTATAAACTCAAGAAGCCCTGTATTTTCATTAGCTTAACATTTGCAAACTTACGGAAAGCTTTTACTGAATTAAGATTAAATATGATCAATCAATCAATCTTTATTGAATAAGTCTTCAGACCATTTCACATATAAACATAATAATTAAACATTACAAAGTAATAAAATAATAAAATGGTAAAATATAAAGATTAAAACTATATATAAATAAAAATACTAAAAGATAAAATTAAAGTATTTATATACATATGTCCAAACATGTATTTAGAATATATTTAAATCAAATTATTCTCATCTAAAATTGGAGCAACACTCTAATTCAGGACTTTGGCTACCTCAACCCTCCGTATAGTAGCTGCTTTTAGATTAAATATGATGGATACAGCATACAGAGATGGAAGATATAGAGGTATTCCAGCAAAAGAAGGTATTTGTGTATATGGTTGTCAAGAGGCAGAGGATCTTGTTCATTACATGTTATTTTGTCCTCTCTACCAAGAACCAAGAGAAAGGTTCATTACACCTATAATAGAAACCAGTCCCAGTCAGAACCCACAGGACATGATCTTTTACCTTCTACTGGACCTGAATAAATATGTAACCTGGAAAGTAGCTTTGTTTGCCTTAGCAGCTAAAAAAATCAGGAACAAGTATATAACAGGGATAGCCATAAACTGTAAAGGCGATGACTATATTTGATATATATTTTTAATGGGCATAATGACAATTGTTGTTTGAACATTGGGTTTAGAAATTCTGTACCAGACATGAGGTACCCACATTATAGATATAATTCACATGTATTGTTATATTGTTATATAGTTATATTGTTATATGTATTGTTGTATTGTTGTACTGTGCAATGACCTTTGGTCAAAAGCAATAAAATTTGATTTGATTTGATTTGATATTTGTTTGCCTAAAGAATGTGTTTACAATGAACAAACTGTTGGCCTCACAAAATTCAGTATATCACTCTCCTTTTTCATTTCTTGATCCTAGGCCAAATTGATCCTAGGCCAAATTCTCCAGCACACTTGGGTTCTGTTCAGTTTCCTATTTTTACATTACAATCATCTATGATTCACATCATATCCTGTTTGGATCTGTGATCAATTTTCTGCTGGATGATTGTGTAGAATCTCTTTTCCCCTCATCCGTCTCTGTGATTGGAGCATATACTTGGATCATGGTTATACTGATAGCTTTTCCTTGGCACCTTACTGATATAATTCAGTCAAATTTTGTGTTGTATTCCCTGACTGCTTTTGCTACATCTCAACTCAGTATTAATGCCAACCCTTTTCTTCTTTGATTTTCATTTCCAGAGTAAAACACTGTGTAAGTATCTGATTGAAAATGTCCCATTCCTCTCCACTTTAGCTCACTCACAGCATTTATGACTATGGCTATACATTCCATTATTGTTTTACAATTTCCAGGTTTTCCTTGATGGAAGATTTTTGCATTCTCTTTCCCCTTCCTTAATAGATAGGGATTTCCTTCATGCAAACTCTTCTTTCTCTCTGATTCAAACTAATAATGTGATTTAGGTCACTCCCCCTTTGTGATTAACTGACACTCTCTCAAAGATTTTCAACTAAACTGCATATTTTCTATCTTCCTCCTCTCTCAACTCTCTTTGGAAAGATGATGAGATAAATATTACTTTTCTACCTGAACTATTCATTAGCTAGTTTAATATATAGCCTCTATGCATATATAGATTAAAGCTATTAGTAAACTTTTGCTTGAACTTCAAGCTACTTGTGTTGTTTCTGAGTCAGTCTCAGTTCTGGGAAGTATAGTTAGACAAGAACATGTTTTCAGCTACTCTGCTGATTTAAGGCTAGACCCTAGCGGGCTTGGTTTAATATTTTTGATATTTAAATATTTTTGTTTCCTATGCAAAGGCTGAAACCTTAGGAAACTCAAACTGCCCTACGTTCTTGACTCAAGCTTCTCACATTCCATGTTCCCATTACATAAATGTAAGATACGCTTTTTAGATTTTTAGGGTAAACATAAATGTTGGTGGTGGTGCCTTCAACTTGTTTCCAACTAAGGCAAACCTATAATGGGGTTTTCAGAGACTGAGGGGGAAGCAGACGAGAGCTTCCAGGACGCTGCGGGACGGTGCGCCACGGGAACGTGGCATCCGCACTGCGGCGCACCGTCGACGCCTCTGAAAGGAGTGCAAAATCAGCGCTCCTTTCAGAAGTCAGTGAAAGTGAGCCCTAAAAGTGTAGGACGCACTTTCACTGACTTATCCACCGCAGTGTGTGCGGACACTGCAACGGGAGATTGCCCTCAGAGCGCCGGCTGTGCGGAGGGCCGGCTGCTCCGAGGGCAACCTTGGGAGGAGGAAGGGGCGCCGATCATGCGGCTGCCCCTCCTCTTCCTTGCCTCGAGGACGGCCCAATTAGCCATCTGCCGAGGCCCTGAGAGTTTGTGACTTGCTCAAGATCACACAGTGAGTTTCCATGGCCAAGCAGTGATTCAAACCCTGGTCTCCAGAGTCATAGTCCACAGCTCAAACCACTATGCCACACTTGCTCTGACAAAAATAGTGGAATTTTTGTAATTAACTTTCCTGTATCTGCTCATATTGGCACATGCACACATTTTTGGTCCTCTAATTGTTCAAACTGGCAACTTATAATACCACAGGCCCTTTGATTATTTCAGTTCATGCACTGTGTGTTGAACTCTTCAGCCGAGTTCTGCTCCCAAGTCAGTTATACTATGAAATAGTGACTTAATAATTCATTGCTTTATGATTCTTTTTTTTTTTTACTACAGTAAGCAAAGGGCTTGTGTACATGGTTAAAATATTTCTCATTCTAGTTGAATAGCTGCAATGTGACCATACATGATTCAGAGGAAACTGGGATTGGTGTGAATGTGTGAAAATCCACATCAGTTCACATAATACACTTATGTGTAGACTAGCCACAAGAAGTTTGTAACTTTTAATGTGTAACTTTTAGTAACACATTTAAAGTGTGTATGAGAGGACAGCTTATTTCCTATGCTGCCAATGAAACAGAAAAGAAAGTGCCAAACAGTGCCAAACAGCTGTGAACTCGAAGGCTTTCACAGCCAGCATCCATAGTTTTTTGTGGGTTTTTTGGGCTATGTGGCCATGTTCTGGAAGAATTTATTCCTGATGTTTCACCTGCATTTGTAGCTGGCATCTTCAGATGATGCAGGCATGGAAGTGATTGGGGTACATATACTGAGTGACCTTTGGTTGGGAGGAAATGATTTACATGTTAATCTGTGTGTTTGTTGGTCTGGTGTTGAATGGCAAAGCCTCAGGACTTTGCCAAACAGTTGTTGCAAAAAGAATTATTACTTTACAAATTTTTGTTAAAATGTAATACTAACCCTATGCCTTTTAACTATTCAACATCTTGATCCCTATGCAAGGAGAAAGGCAGGATATAAATTAAATAAATAAATATTCAAAAGTAGCAAAACTACAATATGAGGCAAACACAATGCATGCCAACAAAACAGATTTTGTTAGGCCTGCATTTCTCAAATTATTAGATAGAGCAGCCCAGCAGTTCTCCCCCTCCCTCCAAATATGTCAGAGACTGAAATGAAATACAAAACAGCTTTATTTGCAGACAATGGATTACTTTTTCTTTCAAATCTGCAGAGCTCTACACCAAATGTGATGTCAGTGCTGGCCAACTTTCATGTTATAATATCAACTGGCAAAAATCCAATATTATATCATTATTTGTAGAGTTGCCAGCTAATCTTCGCTTTACAGATTCACCTTTCACTTGGAGACCTAAATATTAGCCAAGTGCGTGCAGTGGTTACAGATCCTGACTAAAGAGGAAAGACACCAATGGCTTAGAGAACAAGCTAAAGTCTTTATTTAGGAAATCCATACTAAAATGGGAAGTTACTCAGGGAGCTATTCAGTTCAGTTCATCTTTATTATGATCATTGACCAGCACATGTAAAAAGGGGATACAGAATAAAAGAAGATAATGTTAAAAACAATGGTAAAATCAAGGTAAAAACAGGGTAAAAACCAGGTAAAAACACAGATTAAAAACAGCATAGCCTCAACAGGATTCCCCCCATTTGATGTTGGGGATACAGAATAAAAGAAAGTAATGGTGAAAGCAAGGTAAAAACAAAATAAAAGCCAGGTAAAAACAGTATTTCCTTCAAAAATCTGGTGCGGCATGGCAAGATTAATTCTAGTCTAATGCAGAGGTCATAGCCTGATGGATTTTAACTGCAGCTGCAAAGAATCTGGCAACATTATAGGTTATATCTGGATTGGTGTCCAAAAGCAGTAAGGAAGTGTAGAATTGACTGGTATGTCCTTGGTGTTTATACAATAGAGAAGAGATAAGGCTGAGGTGGATGTTCCTGTAGTATGAGCACTGGAATAATATGTGCTGTGTTGTTTCTATTTGGCCAGAGTCACAAGGGCATAGTCTGTTTAAGAAGGGGATCTGATATTGGCATTCAAGAAGAGCTGAGGGGAGGGCATGGCATCGTGCCAAAGTAAAGGTTCTCCAGTGTTTAGTACTTCAGGTTTTGCTAAATATGCCATTGGTCATGCCAATATCTGGCAATAAAAGTTGGGGTGCTAGTTAGATCTAGCTGTCACTCTATATCACCTGTCGTTTGATAGTCACTTTAACCTTTTCATATCCCATACTGAGCAAAAGATCTGGAGAGAAACCCAGTGAAGAAATTTTAGTCATCACCATCTGTTTCCACATAGACTGGAATTAATCAGTCAGGGTAAGTGGAACAAGGCGGATGGGAAAGAAGGATAATCTGAACCAGTAGCTGAGTATAGTCACCCATTTTCATAAAGTCTGACTCCAGTCTCAGAATTGCATTAGAGATACATTTTGGAGCTTGGGATGATATTCTTAGAAATTTGGATTGCAAAGCAAAGCAAAGCAGCTTCATTTATATACCGCTTCATATCGCGCATGGGATGTCTAAGCGGTTTACAACTATGAGCTGATTGCCCCCCAACAATCTGGGTACTCATATTAGCGACCTCGGAAGGATGCAAGTTCTAATGGTTCAGAGTTGGGAGAGGGGTCCCAGCTGGGATCCATAAAGCAGTTGTGCAACAGATTTGGCTTCAAAGAGTTTGAGTGCTGCTGGAATATAATGGCCTCCTCTTGTCATAAGAATTTTGAGGATGTCTGTTGAACTGCTCTGCATGTTACTGGCAGCATAGTACCCATGAGCTTTCCTGTTACCAGTAGTGTTAAAGATTACCCTCAGATATTTGAAGCAAGATACCTGTTCGATCTTGTGACTATCTATAATCTAGTTTTGGTTGAAGCAAGATACCTGTTCGATCTTGTGACTATCTATAATCTAGTTTTGGTTCTTAGGCCTTTTAGCAAATGCCATGATTCTGGTTTTTTGGTAGTTAAGCTCTAGCTGATCCTCTTTGCAATACTGTGTTAGTGTTCTTAGTGGTCTTTTTAGACCAATAGGTGTTCTTGAAATTACTGCTGCATCATCCACATAAAGCAAAGCAGAGATATGCCATCCCTATAGCTTTGGAAGATGGAAATTTGTGTTGTTGAGATGACCCACCATGTCACTGATGTAAAAGTTGAACAGGAGTGGAGCTAGAATGTATCATTGCTTGACACCCTTCTCAGTGGCAATGGCATTGGTGAGATGACCCTGGAGTTTGCATCTTACTTTGAGTAAGGTTCCTTCATGCAGCATACAAATTACATATAGTAGTCAATCAAGGAAGCCTCCATAGTTTGGTTCTAGATACAGAGTCAAAAGCTGCTTTGAAGTCTATAAAAACAACATAGAGACTGTGTTGCAGGTGGCATACTTTTTGATGAGGTGTTGAAGTACAAGGCACTGTTCTATGGTGGATTGGCCTTCCCTAAAGCCAGCTTGTTCCTCTACAGGTATGTTTTCTTGTTCCATCCAATCTTCAAGTTTCCACTATAAGTGTCTTGTATACAGCTTGCTGATTGTGTTCAGGAGACTAATTGGTCTACAGCTGCCAGGATCATTCTTTTTTTTTTCTTTTTTATATATGGGGACAATGATAGCAAGCCCCCAGTCCCTGGGTGCTCTACTGTAGTTGTTGTCAATGCAGGTAAAGAGGGATGCCAAAATAGGGGCCAAAATTCCAAATTATTTTTGATGGCTTATGAAGCTATTAAATCTTCCCCTGGAGCCTTCTCCACTCTCAGTTGGTCTACAAGGTTCTTGATCTCTTCCTCAGACACCGGTGCCCACCTTGAGAGATTCTCTATATTTTGGCTTGCAGATCCACTTTCGACATTAGTGTCCTTATATAGTGCTTGGAAGTGTCCCTCCCAGATCCCTGGAAGGATGTGACAATCCACTATAGCTGGTGCATTGCATTGGGAGCTTGATGTAACATGCCAAAAATGAAGCTGAGTTGTTGGTTTTGAATGCCTGAATAAGTTCTGCCCAGTTATTTTTCATGGCTTCTTTCTTCTTGTAAGCCAACAGTTTTTTGTAACCTCTCTTCTGCTGGAGCAGCTTTGTTACTGCTTCTGGCAGGGAGCTGTTCTAATTTAGCTACATCTCTAGGGAAGAGATGAGAGAGCTCTGGGAGAAGAAGAGGTGGAAACATCCATAAGAATATCTATTTACATCACAGAGGGGGTAGACAAAGAGGGTTACTCAGATTATCTAAACCAGGAGTAGGCAACCTTTCTCCTTTAAGGGTCGAGGGACTTCAGCTCCCAGAATCCCAGGAGCTATTGGCCAACATGGGACAATTGGCCAACATGGCTGAGGCTTCTGGGAGCTGAAGTCCCTCGGCCCTTAAAGGGGAAAGGTACTCCTGATCTAAACCTATTGCTACTGCCCATTCTGAATTAATTCTTTCAATGCAGAGAATTATTGCATTTCCAACACTAAATACCCTAAAGATACCAGGTCTTGTCTGATCTTGGAAGCTAAGCAGGGGCAGCACTAGTTAGTACTTGGATAGGAGACCAATGAATACCAATATATACCAGATATATTTCAGAGGAATGAATGGGCAAAACCATCTCTGAGTATTCCTTGCCTTTAAAAACCCTATGGGATTCATGGAGTCACCAAAAACTTGTGCAACCTGATGATGTGGACAGGATCCTTGGAGAGGTTAAAGCCACCACATGTGTCTTAGATCCTTGTCCTTCTTGGCTCATTAAACAGGTCAGAGGGGGACTATAACAAGGCAGCATTCCAATATGCCTAAAAGAGGCAATTGTGAGACCTTTGTTTATAAAGCCACCCCTGACTCCTGCTATAATGAAATTATCACCAATGTCCAATCTACCATTTTTGGACAAGGTTTTTGAACATGTGGTGGCTTCCCAACTCCAGGGGTTTCTGGATGAAACTGGTATCTAGATCCATTTCAATTTGGTTTCAGGCCTGGCTATGGAACAAACACAACCTTGGTGGATGATCTACGCAGAGAACTGGATGGGGGAGTGTGTCCTTTTTAGTTGTGCTGGACCTCTCAGCAATTTTCAATACCCTCGACCATGGTATCCTT